GGTGCAAATCAGCATTTCCCAACTTGTCCCCCTCCACATTTGTTGAACTATAACTGTTATAACCACCATCATCCCAGGACAACACACTTAGTCAGCATGGTGTCTGGGGTGCTGGGAGTTTCAGTCCAGCCTATCAGTCAGGGGCATGCAGGTTATGGTAGGCTGATGTGAAGGGTTAATTGAGCTCCTGCTTGTAATCCTTGCAAGTGGAAGTATCCTAAAGTGAAACAATATCACCTCTTGGATGTAAACCGAACCTTCCGGAAATTTCCGTCAGGTACCACTCTCCCCACAGCAGATGGCTGCGTGTGTGGTATTAGCTGACTTCATTGTTGCTTTTAGCCTTCCTGTTACAAATACAGATGTAAATGGAAACTGATGAGCTGTCTTTGCTCCCCAGGGACAGGTATATTCTTTCCATAAAGGGAATAAAACCAGCTTTAGAAGAATCTTATTGGCATTCAGTGAATCAGGGATAGGTAAAGTGCAAGCCTAGGACCACATGCTCACACACATACACATGCTGTTTTCATGGCCCTTGGCCCATTCCCCAGCTGCTTTTTTGTGGTAACTGTGTCCTTTCAAATAGTTTCCACTTATGGTAATCCTAAGGCAAACCTTTCATGGGGATTTCTTGGCAGGATTGCTCCTGAGATTTGCCATTGCTTTCCTTCTGAAGCTGAGAGAGAGTGACTTGCTCAACATCACCCCAGGGGTTTTCATGAGCAAGCAGGGATTCAAACCCTGGTCTCTCATAGTCCAACACTCAAACCACAAAACAGGGGTGCTTTAATTTTGTATTCCTGAATGACAGGGGTGAACTAGATGTCCCTTGGGAGTCCTTCCTGCATTAAGATTCTATAATTCAGTTTTGGCCTTACAGTTCCCCAAGCCCAACAAATCCCAAACCCCTTTGTAAAAAACAAAAATCAACTGAAAATGAAAGTGGAAGTGGTGCGAGGTCACTTCTGATCACATCAGATGTGACAGTATACAGCCCACTTGGGAGGGAGGAGCAGTGAAACTATACAAGTTGTCGTCCCCATCCCCTCCCCAAAACCAATGGACATTTAATCTTCTGGTTAATCTGACCTCATTTTCCTCTTTTTTCTCCCTTTAGTTTAAGTTTGTGGGTTTGCAGAGTTATTCCTGTGCTCCAGAGAGTCTGTGTGAAGTTTTGAGCACAGACTTTCCCTTTGAGGTAAGTGGACGTCTCTCAAACCAAAACTTTTTTTTGTCTAAAGCTCTGAGACTTGCATGCAGGGCTGGGGAGTAGAAGAAGGAGTAAAGGAGTAAGAGATTTTTACATGAGTAGGAGTAACATTAAGAAAAAAAATACCTTACTGCAGAGTCGGACAAGGAGTAACCCCAAAATCACCACTGCTCCCCAGCCCTGCTTGCATGGAAACAGAAAAGTTCTCTTGGTGCAAAAGGACATCCAGGCTTGGAGACTTAGAGGTTCAAGTGACATAGGGACAGAATTCTGGCTGGAGACATTTGTTGGTTAGTGACTTGGAATCAGTGTCAGATATTTGAAAAGCGAGGCACAAGTTTTATTTGCTTGGACAAGCCGGCACAGCACAGAAAGTCAGGAATCTTGGCTTTTCACATGTGAGGAGTGATTCCGTAATCCCTTTATTTCACTGCAACTGTTGAAGTCCTTGGGCAGATCACACTGTCTCAGCCTTACAGGAAAGCAAGGGCAGGCTTCCTCTGAACAACAAAGTTGGAAGTGACTTAAAGGCATGTGACAACAACTTATGGTGATCCCATGAATTTCATAGGGTTTTCTTAGGCCAGGAATAGAGTCGACCCTCCATATCCACAGATTCAACTATCCATGGCTTGTACATATTCCAAATAATTATATAAATTCCTAAATGTGAAACTTGATTTTACCATTTTATATAAGGCACAACATTCTACTATACATTGTATTTAATGGAATGTGAGCATCCATGGATTTTGGTATTCACAGGGGGTCCTGGAACCAAACCCCAATGGATACAAAGAGCCCACTGTACTCAGAAGTGGTTTTGCAATTTCCTTCCTCTCAAATAGAACCTACAGCACCTGGTATTCATTGGCAGTCTCCTATCCATGTCCTAACCAGAGCTGATCCTTCTTAGCTTCCAAGATCAGACAGGATCTGGTACCTTGCTCCAAACCCTCATTGGTGATGGAAGAAGAACTAGGTTTCAGTCTTTAGGAACTATCTGGGGTTATGCTGGTTGGAATGTGATGCTGGATCATAGTTCATAAGAAACAGAAATGGAAGATTCATTTGTGGTGGAGACTCAGAGCGAGGAGTGTGCCAAACCACAGGCCTCTTCCAGTCACTGAGCCTGGGTAATTTCTCTGGTCTATCTCTGTCACTTTAATAAGATAGCAGAGTGACAGATGATTAGGAAATGGCTCTACTGCAGAATTCAAATGCATTTATCAATTGCATGCTGTCTTCCCAGGGTGTCTGGTATGCAAAGTCAGGAGTCTGAGATCTCTACTGACATTTTCAGCTCCTGCATCAAACTGCAGTTCCCAGCATTATTTGCAAGAAATCATCTGTCAGACCTATTTAAATGTGCACAGTAGTCTTTCAAAACCAATTGTATTGTGCTATAATTCACTATAAATTAGAATGGATGAATTCTATTTTAATTATCTAATAATTAAATAATTCTTCATTCCTAATTAATTGAAAATTCACAATAGTCCTGGTCTTGCTAACTCCCTGTATGTTAATGCCAAGAAAATATGGAGCTCATGTCTTAAATCTGAAGAAGTCTCTGCCTTTTATTTGTGCTTGAAAATTCACCATGGGCATTTCTAATTAAGCCTCAGAAGCAAACTGTGGTTGCTTTCATCCCTGTTCAGCACATCCTCTGGTTGTGCTGATGGGGTGATGGGAGTTGTAGTCAAATGCCTGCTGGCCGGCTTAAAATAATAGATGTCATGTTCTGATACATCTCAAAGGTGCTAGGTTGGGAGGGGTGAATGGGAAGGATGTGGGGTAGGAATGATGAGTTCTAGTCCAGCACATCTGGAGAAGGGCCGGACTGGCCAAAGCTGCTGTTTAAGGCCTGTGGGGGTGGCTTTCATAGGAAGGAAGGCACTAGAGACTGGTGGTGATAGGAGTGTGTATGTTTTGTGTGCCTTCAAGTCATCTCTGACTTATGACAACCCTATTATGGGGTTTTCTTAGATTTGTTCAGAGGAGGTTTGCCATTGCCTTCCTCTGAGGTTGAGAGCATGTGAGTTGCCCAGGGTCACCCAGTGGATTTCATGGCTGAGCCAAGAATCTGACCCTAGTCTCCAGAGTCATAGTCCAACACTCAAACCACTACACCATACAGGGTTTCAGAGTACCTCCATAGAAACTGGAGTATTTAGAGCAGTCTTGGCTCACTGAAGCCCCCCTTTTGCATCTTTACTGAATAGAGGCCCATCTGTCTTGTAGCCTTGTAAGGTAGGCCAGCTGCAAAAGAGGACAGAGCTCAGATCCTGGCACTTTTAACAGTCATGAAGGAGCAGGGTTTCAGCAGGTCTGCTGCTCGTCCTACAAATGACACTGGCCAAGCTCTCCTCTTTTGGACTTCAGGGGCAGCATCGAGACCTTCTGAGGCTATTCCAAACCTTGGGTTGCTCAGAGAGTGAACCTCTGATGTGAATGCTTCCCAGTCAAAAATTCCCAGCCTGCATGCAGACAGTAACTTTAGCTTCCTTTCCTGATTAGGGTGGCGTCAGTGGCATGACTCAGTTTGCAAGGAGGCAGACGGGTGCATTAAATAAACACGAGCAGCTAGAGAAGATGGGAGTCATTTGGGCTCCAGGAATTTGCCTCTCTTTCACATCAGCTCTCTCATTGTCTTGGTTTTGTTTCCCCCCCCCCCCAAGCTAGAAAATGGGATGCTTTTTCGAGTGGGATTCAGCTTACTAATTTTTGTTCCAAATGAGGATAACCTATTTCTTTTTTTTAATTGATATTTTATATATGTATTACATTTCTATCTCACCTTTTCTCTTAATTATCTCAGAGTAGCCCTCTGGTTCTCTGCTTTATTTTCACAACAATCCCTGTGAGGTAGGTCAGGGTGAGATAGTGTATGTCATTGGCCCAAGGTCACCCCATGAATTTTGTGATACAATGGGGACCAAAACCTAGATCTCCAGTAGTCCAACACTAACTGCTATACTCCACTGGCAAAAGGCAGTTCTGGTCTTCTTGAGGCTCTATATTTACAGCCCTGGGAGAATATCTTCCTTCTCCAGTTTGCAGATGGTGTGCTTATGAATTCTTGTTTTAATCTTTAAATGAAAAGAAAAAAAAGTGGTGTCCTCCACTGCGGTTCTGGTGAGTCTCCCTGGCGGCAGTATATTCCAAAAGTTAAGAAAGCAGATGGCAAAGATGATGTTGAAATAAATGACCTTGTGTGACTCTCACGTCGGGCAACTTTTATATACTGTATTGCTAAATAAAGCTTGCATTCTGAAAAGGCAGGGCTGGGTTGCTGAGTCTGGTTTTTAAGGGGGCAAAGGGACTTCCCAGATCTCATCAATCCAGTTGGCTAAATATAACTTCCAGTGTCAGAGGCAGTCTATCTTAGAATACCAGTTGCTGGAGGACCCAGTTGCTACTGGTTTCCCTGGGGGACACCTGATTGATTGACCACAGAGCAGAGAGAACTTTATCCATACTGGATAAAAGCCTTTGCCTTTAATCCAGGATGGCTTTTCTCATGTTCTTAAACACCTTTATAATAATGGAGAAGGGGGAGTAGAAGAAAGGAATGCAGCAGCACCTTTAAGACTAACTGGTTTTTATTTTAGCATGAGCATTCATAGATAAAAAACCCTTTCTTCAGCCTGTATTGCTTTCAAAGAAGTGGCTTTATATCCACAAAAGCTCAAGCTAAAATCAAAGCCAGTTTGTTATAAAGGTGCTGCTGCATTGTTATTTTTCTCATCCCCCTCCCCTTCCTCTTTCTTTATGCTGCAATGGAGCCAGTGTGGTGTAGTGGTTTGGATGTTGGACTAAAACTCTGGAGACCAGGGTTCGATTCCCAGCTTGGCCATGAAATGTTGACATTGGGCAGGTCACGTCCTCTCAGCCTCAGGGGAAGGCAATGGCAAGCCATCTCTGAATAAATCTTACTAAGAAAACCCCATGATGGGATGGCAATAAGTGGGAAATGACTTGAAGGCACACAACAAGAGCCTGTTACAGCCCCTTTTAAAAGTAATAGCATGTGTCAGAAAATCTGTGACACCCTGTAACTGGTGTCTCCAATCTAGTCATGTTCTAGAGGTGGGGGACTGCAACTCCCATCATACCCAGCCAGCTGTCTGAGTGGGAGTGATAGGGGTTGCAATCCCTCACCTTTGGAACATGGCCAACTTGGGGAAAATCAACCCTTACAGTCTTTGTATGTAGGGAACCCCAGATTCAGCCATTTCTATGCAGGAACCTCCAGATTTAGTGCTGGGAGATGATTTTCTGGCACCAGAGGAAAGTTGCTGGTCCTCAAGGTTGGCTATTCCTGGGCTTGGAGATATCAATCGAAGCTGCTGCTGCTGCTCTTCTTTTCATTCAAGGCTTTTCTGTCTGCTCAGTGCTTTTAATGAAAGTGGATGCTGCCCGTGGGGTAAAACAGCTGAGAGAAGAGAGATGCTGGCAGTGAGTTTTGAAGCAACGGATACCCTGCAAAGTCTGTGTCTTTCTCATCACCATCTCTTCCCCATCACCATCACCCCCATCTTACCTCCGGCATTCCCCTCGCCTCCTCCTCCCCAGCTTCCGGTATTTTTTCTCTTTCCACAGTCATCAGTTCCTTGTGTGCAAATGGCCTTTTTAAAAGCCAAAGCTAATTTAGCTAAAAGCAAGGGCTGTAGACTTATTAGGAAGTCTCTCGCAGTGCCGGGGAAGGATGGGGGAGTGCATCTCTTTGTAAAAACTCTGCAACTCCCCCACTTCCCTCCTGCCTTGGGGGCTAGCAGGAGCAATAGGAACATCTTTTTTTTACTGTGGATTTGGGGGTGGGAGAGACTTAAGTGGGAAGCGACTAACCCTGGGGGTGGATTATGAAAACCAGCTGCAGCCTTTTGGAGAGCGGAAACGATGACGTTGAGGCAAGGTCTGACTTCGATGGAGCATGGAGTGGCCTTAATTCCCATTGATTGTTGGAGAAGGCTATGCCTTGTGGGATTCATAAAAGATTTTCTTTTTTTCTGCCCATGAAGGGAAGGCTGGGGGTTCTCCTTCCTCTCCCGCCCTCCCTATGAATCCCTTTTGGAGACACTGGTCTGGAAGAGGGTATGGTTTGGCTAGCAGAAGTGCAGAACATCCAAACAAGGGGCCAGAGCATCTCCCCTTTTAGGGGATGTGATGGCCTTTGGGATGGTTTTGCTTAGAAAGAGAAGCAAGGGGAGACATCCCAGGGGTTTGCAGAACCTTCTCAGGGTAGAGAAAGTTGATAGGGAGAGATTTTTCTCTTTCAAAACAACAGTAGCCAAAAGGAGCCTCTGCCTACGGTAATTAGAAGAGTGGAAGATGCAGGACAGAGTATCCCAAGAAATAGATTGGTATCCCCAAAACCTCATGCTAGAATAAATCAGTCAAGCTTAAAGATGCTACTAGATTTCTCTTTTCCCTGCCTCTCTCTTTCATTTTTAGGACAGACCAGAGGAAAGGTTGCAGGAGGGAGCTGAGTTGGGGTGCCCCTACACCATAGAAATACTGTATATACTTGACTATTAAGCCAACCTCATGTATAATTCGAGGGCAGGTTTTGGGACCCAAATTATGGATTTTGATATGACCTTCGGATGTTAAGGGGCATATGGCAAAGGATTCAGAGATACAGCCATGTTAGTCTGTATCAGTAGCTAGAGAGATCTTGTAGCACCTTTGAGACTAACAGAAAGAAGGAAGTTGCATGATGTATACTTAAATCTACTTCCTCAGATGCATTTGGACTTAAGGAAGTAGACTTAAGTTTACGGACTCCCATGCTGTCTTTCATTTAGTTTCAAAGGTGCTACAAGACCTCTCTACATATTGATTCTACAGACTAATCCAGCTATATCTTTGAATTCTGCTACTATGGAAAGCACCAAATTTAGCCAAATGGAGTGGTAACAAAGGATGAAGCAAAGGGGGGGAAATGCCAAAGAAAATTCCAGCAAGCATACTGTTTGAGCTCACCCTAAAGGTTGGATGGATGAGAGAATAGAGTGGGGTCAGTGCTTCCAGGACAGATTATATTCTTGCCTCTCACCCAGGGATGGTTTCTTTTTAAATAAGAGTTAAAGTACAGTACTTATACTGACCTGTGGATAAATCAGCTCTGGTTTTTTTGTTTGTTTGTTTGTTTGTTTTTTGGGATCTCTTTTTTTTATTACTAAAATGTCTAGACTTATACACGAGTATATACAGTAATACTTGCTCAGTGTGCCAGCCATCCATAACCATTTTAGGAGTGCTCCACTCCATTCTTCCTCTCCTCTTCCTTATGTTTCTCCCCCAAATAGTATTTTGGCAGTCTTTGGTCAGTGAAGAATGCGCTCAGGGTGCATCTACACTGTAGAAATAATGCAGTTCGACACCACTTAAACTGCCATTGCTCCTTTTCAGTAAGGAACATTTCAATCTAGTTTCACAGTTACCTTCAACCCAACAGAAAGCTTGACTTGGAAATAATCTTTTTATTGGAGTACTTATAAATAATTGAAGTTGTACCAATTCAATAGCATCCTTTTCCTTAACATCATTAACATCAGAGCCTGGAAACATTACTCTGTAAGCTAATACATGTGACTTTGAAATGTAATTTGCTGTCATTACTTGATTTTTTATTTTATTTTTATATACATGCAACATATTTGGAAACATAATGCATTGTTTTATTCATTGACGATCAGCTGATTTTCATTTTTTAAAATGTCACTTTTTTAAAAAAATACTAAAACTGGCCTTAAATATTCCACGTTCTTCTGCCACCTCAAATTGCCAGTAGAATAGGAAATTTGTGTTTTTGCACAGAAAGTAGGTATAGTGTTGTTGTTATTGCGTGCCTTCAAGTTGGTTCTGACTTACGGTGACCCTAAGGCGAAACTAACAAGGGTTGTTTTTGGCAACTTTCTTCAGAGGAAGATTGCCATCGCCATCCTCTGAGGCTGAGAGAGTGTGACTTGCCCAAGGTCACTCAGTAGGTTTACATGGCCGAGCTGCGATTTGAACCCTGAGTCATAGTCCAACACTCAAACCACTACACCACATTTTAAGAAGCAAAGAGCAATGTTTTTACTTTCCACATGTTGTTTCCATGGTTTGATTTAAACTTCAAGGAGTGGGAAGCTGAAGATATATTTGCGGCTTTAACTTTTGCCGATTTGATTATGTACAGTTTTGATTAATATGTTCTCTTTAGGAATCTCTAGGTTCTCCAACATGACCTTATTGTCAACTTCTGCCAAAAGTCAAACTGGGGGACCTAGAGATTCTTAGAGAGAACATTTCTCTAGGCATTTGTAGGTCTTCCAGTGCAATTTCATGGTCAACTTTTGGCAGATCTTGACCATAGAATTGACCCGGTGGACCAAGAGATTCCCAGAGAGGTTCTCATGTGTGGTTTTTAATTGCAGCTTTTCCAGTTTCACAGGAATCCTGTGCCCCTAACCCCAGCAAATGTCAATTCTCCACTGTACTTCATTAACAGAGGCATACCTGCATTGGGCTTAACCTGCTCTCCTGTCTCTTCTCCCTTGGTGACTACTACAGGTAGATGGTCTCCTCTTCTACCACAAGCAAAGTCACTACAACCCAGGCAGCACCCCGCTAGTGGGTTGGCTCCGTCCCTACATGGTGTCAGACATCCTGGGTGTAGCTGTGCCCGCTTGCCCACTCACCACCAAGCCTGAGTACGCCGGGCACCAATTGCAACAAATCATTGAGCATAAGAGGAGTCAAAAAGAGGCCGCCAAAGAAGGTTCCCTCAACGCCAACAGGGCTGCCCAAGATGGACGCTACGAACTCGAACACTTGTCTACGCCTAAACCAGAAGGGTCTCCTTCAGCCTCGAGGGACACTGGGAGCAAGATGGAAAATTGAGAAGCCAGTCTGGCATGACAGAATGGGGGACGTTCCTCCATTCACTATGAAGATAGTCTCCAAGGCGGAGGTCATATTAACAGGAATGGCAGCTCCATTTTGAGGTGCTTTTAACAGAACGGGGGCAGCTTTCAGTCTGTTTTTAACAGGTGGCGCCCATGACAGTATTAGGGTCGAGATCCTGGATGTAAAATCCTCACACACCAGTGGATGAGTTTGTTAATAAACCATAGAGAAATTGGTGGAAGCTTCTTTGCAATCTGTAGAAGAGGTCAATCGACCTGCTTTAAAAGAGGAGAAGCTTTTGAGGCTGCCATTTTGGGCACCTCGGTGCCTCTAAATTTCACCAAAAAATGAGAATTTTTCAAAAAGGGATGTTCTACTGAAGGATGGGGGAATGTAACAAGAATTTTGACACATTAGATTTGAGTAGACACATATACTCAAAACGTCACACCTTCTTTCACTTTAAAGTAGATCACTCTCACTTCCACACAAATAAGATTTATATTCCTAATTCCTGAGGAAAGAAGGCTTGCCTTCCATCTACAGTTGTTGCACATTGGGTGCCTGTGAAATAACAGAGGGGTTGTTTTCTAATGTATTGGCTTTGGATGCACTAAATAAAAGTTGAAAAGGTGGGTGTTGGCCAGGAGAACTGTGTATCTTTCCCCACTTTCCCTTGTACTGGTACCTGTTATCCCTGGTAAACCCAAAGTTACATTTTCCACAGAGCTTGGGAAAATTACTTTTCATAACAACAACTCCCTGAATTCTTACCAGCATCCCCATGCTGGATGGGAAAGTCTGGGAGTTGTCGTCCAGAACAATAACTTTTCCAAGCTCCAATCTTTGATTTCACCCATTCTTTCTTGCTTTGTGCTACTACTGTTTACAAGTGTTATTTATATCACTATCTGTATTTTACACATTCCAGTGATCATTCCACCCCCATCCTCCCTGGCT